CTCACTCAATTAATTAAACACGAAACCTAAATAAATTAAAACATTAAAAAAAAATATATATTAAAAAAAAAAATATTTAAAAAAATTCTTATCCACAGCTGAAGTTGATAAAGCTTACTTTCTTCAGTTCAGTTATGAAGAAAGAAGCTTTACAAAGGCAAAAAAAGATTATCAATTTAATATTTGATAATCAATTTAGGATCCAAATCTGAATCTGACAGATCAGATCTGAATCTAAATTTGAATCTGACAGATCAAATCCGAATCTAAATCTGAATCTGACAGATTAGATCTGATCTGAATCTGAATCTGAATCTGATCTGAATTTGATAGATCCGATCTGAATCTGATCTGAATCTGACAGATCAGATTCAGATTGATCTAAATCTATGCAGAATACTAACCTCCATAAAATTATATTTGATTAGTTACACAAAATTGTGTCAAACATAAAAGACGATTTACAGAAAAAATATAATGATTCAGCAAATATAATCATATATAGATACTATAAAAAATTAAAATGCTAATAATCAATTAATCATTCAGATAAAGTTAAAATTTCAACTTCAAATTGTGACAAGTAGTAGTTCATTAAATTTAAGATGATCACTAATTCTCAACTGCAGTTCTATTAATTCGAAATTTGCTGATCACGTATAGATCATACATATAAGCTACATATAAAATTTTCAGGTTAATAAACTATAATCTTTTTTTATACTTCGTGAATCTCAAGAAACCTATAGTATTTTTTATACTAAAGAAATTAACTATATCATGAATTAACGGTATTATATTCAAAATAATATTTACACAAAAAAATAAAGAAAGTTTTGTGAAAAAGCCATATTATAGCAATAATAATCAATATAATTATGGTAAAATAACGTGAACTTACAGTTTCGTTAATTTCTAATAAAATAATTGAACTCCACTTACACTATAGACTATTTTCATAAAATTGGTGATTTATTCTGATAACAAAAGATGTCAATGATATAGGAATGATGTGTTTTATTCGTGTTAGCATGAAAATACAGGTAGAAATAAATGAAAAAAATTTATTATGTGTGTTTTAGGAGGAAATAAAAATGATATAAATCAACCTGGCTATACTTATCAATACGATTCTGATTCCAGTGAAATTGAAGATAATCCAACCAATACAATTACTTCTTTATATAGAAAAATTTTCAAAACTCAAACAAAAATTTCAGGTTCAATGGTTATGAGCTTTGATAAAGAATCAATATTTAGTGAATTATTACATGATATAGAATTTTGTCCTTATTCAATTAGTTTAGCAGATAAACTATCTATTATGATCTTTAGTTTAGGTGCTCTAAAAAGGAAGGTTTGATGGATTCTAGAGAAGGGTATATGGCTTCTTTTATTCATGTTTTTAAAAAAGAGCGTTATATATTTGTTCAAAAATTTGTAAAAAATAAATCCATAGTAAAAGTATCGTAAAATGTAAGTTTAGAGTTCTATACTTAAAGCTGCTGGCTGTACAGATGTAACACCTTTCAATAACAATGTTTCACCGGTAATTAATAATTTATATACAATATAGCATAAATTTTAGACGTGATCTTTAGATCCTGCAAATGATAAAAAAATGATGAAAGATCTTTTTCAATCAGACTTTTTAAGTCCATACTCATTAAATGTTCAAAATCCATCATAAATATTTCGGAATTGTTTTGCAAAAAGTTTAGCACAAAATCAAAAAGGTCCTAATGGGATATAGCGAATTTTATCTATTATTGCATATTAATTTTCTTACTAGGAGTTACAAAACAAACTTGGGGTAATATAAATTTTTTTTACATATGTATTATAAATTATTTTTAAAATCTAAATAAACTTATTGGTATTAATTTAGGTTTCACTTATAACTATCAATGTAGTAAAAAAATACGCTACACTTAATAGTTCAGGTTGTCAGCAAATTAATAAACCTGTAGTTATACGTAACCCATCTTTTACTAAAGAAATAGAAGATCAATTTGAAACTTTTTTTCAGATAATGCAAATGTTAGTATGAGTTCATATAAGGTTGATCTAAGAACAAACTGTCCTATCCTTTATCAACTTGATCAAAAAGAATCGTTGTGAAAAAGATTTTCAGAAATTTATCCTAATGGAATGAAAAGAACGTCGTTTATGGCATGAATTGAAGATGGTCCATATAGATATTGTGAAGATTTAGAAGGATTATGTTCAATTTGTGTAGAGTATGAATATGAAGTATTTGATGATTTAGCTAAAATTATAAGACTACATATTGAAAACCTTTTAATTTAAGTATGTAATTTATATAATTATTTGTATTTTTTTCAATAAAATTATTCATAAAAAAAAAATAAAATATAGAATAAATTACTATGAAATGTAGAACTAATTAAATGTCATATGAAAAGAGAATATATACGTAAAATTACTGTTGAAAGTAATGGACATATTAAATACGATGAATATATTGATCACTATTTACCTTATTTATATAGCGAATGTAAAAAGACACATAGTATTAAGTGTTATTATGTTCAAATCTTTATTCTTTTGATGAATTAGAATCAATTTTTTCAACTGAGAAACAACAACTTCTAAGTGATAAAAAAGAAAATTACTTTATTATCTTGCACATCAAATGCGAAAGGTATTTCTTAATACATAAGTTCAAGCAAATTTATTAGAATTAGATAATGATAGTGCTATACTTATTGTTGATTATAAGATACGTATCTTATCAAAATTAGCATGAGAATCTAAGTCTGAATTTTTTGGGAAAAAGGGTTGGACTTTACATTCTATATTAATATATACTAAATCTGAAAATGATGAAAAACTAAGTATAGCTGCATTTGATCACTAGTCAGCAGATACAAGGTAGGATGCATAATTCACAGCATTATCACTTCATGTAGTATTTGATGTTATATCTAAAAAACCAAAATGAATCATGTTAATTTCAGATAATGGACCTCATTATTATAATAGTGAAATGATGTTTATAATAGCACATTGGAAATTTTGGTATGATATTGAAGTAAGAAAATAGATTTTTTTGAAAGCTGGAGAAGCAAAACAGCAATTGACTTTCATCATACGCAGATTATATCTAATTAATATATTGTACTATTTATTATATTTATTAGTATAAGAAAAATAATAATTTATTAGCATTAAAAAAATAATAATTGACTAATGATTTCATAGATTGCACATGCTATTAAAAGATATGTTAGAGTTGGATTTGAGATAAAAGAAGGCATTGATATAGAAAATGCAATTAAAAATTTGTGTAATACATCAATAGGAAAACTAAATCCTAATCATGAAAAATCTGATAAAAAAATAAAGTCATTGGTTGGAATATCTAATATGAATGAATGGAAATAGCTAATAGATGAACCATTTATAGGTTTTATACAAGCACGTTCATTACCAAATATAGGTGATTTTACTAATTATTCTCCTACACAAATATAAAAATTATCAAATACAGAAATAATAAAACCCAATCCTATAATTTCTACACCTTCTAAACCAAAATCTTTATGGACTATATTAATACCAAATCCTGGAAGTAGTTTATTTCAAATTTGTACTATATTACAATTATTCTGTGTATTGAATAGTCACTAAATTATTTTTAGATACTAATTCTAAGCATATACGAATACACACACCTAATGAAAATTTGGAACAAGTTAGCAATAAAATTATAGACGCAAGAAATAATTTTATGTAAGAAAAACCCACTTTGTTTGATGTTACTTATTTTAAAATAGAGTTATATAAGAAATAATATATTGATATTATTTGTAGCGTTGATGCAGAATTTCAACTCGCATCTGGATGGGCATTAAAAGCAAATCAAAAATTTGGAAAAAGAGGCAGAATAAAAATGTCAAAAAAGATTATTACGTTGTTACAAGATTTTTTTCATGCTGGTAATGCTAATAAAAGTGATCGATACTCAGCTAATGATATGTTATCAGAACTTATTCATATGGCAAATAATGGGGAATTTGATTCTGAAATAATACCA